CAAGTTAAGCTGGCTAAAGCTTGTGTTACGGGTACTAGATAACTGATACAAGTACATAGATATTTTTTTTTTCGTAAATACACACATATTATACATAGAAAACACCCAGACCGATACAAACAATCATACTCATGAATACAAATGTTTATGCCGTGCGAGGAATCGAACCCGCGACCATCGGTCGTAAAGCGGTGTACTAGACCGCTAGACCACCGAGGTCGTCATGGCGTCATGGCAATGGTTGGCCGATTCTCAGACCTACTCAATACGAATCACAAAATTTCATGAGAATCGGTCAAGCCGTTTCGGAGGAGTATGGGAACGAAAACTGTGACACGAGAATTTTATATATAAGATATTATATTCAAACAAAATGGACCGTGGGAATATTGAAGTCACGTTGGCGTCCTACCCGACACCGTAATAAACACATCAAATATAGTATTTCAGTAATTCTAGAATATTCTGCACTAAGTAATACCTCTTATTAATACATTTTTATCCTTGTCAATTAACACAACGCCATCTAGTCAAAAGGTAAGCAGAGGCTGTGTTATGGGTACTTGACAACTGATACAAATACATACATTTTAAATACATACATATTATACATAGGAAACACCCAGACCGATACAAACAATTATACTCATGAATTGGAATGTTTATACGGTGCAAGGAACCGATACCGAGACCATCGTAAGTAAAGCGGTGTGCTAAACCGCTGCACCACCGAGGCGGTCAAATGTTTGTAATAAACTCCTCGGAAACGGCTGGACTGAATCTTATAAAATTTTGTTTGTATATTCAGTAGGTCTGAGAATTGGACGTAACCTAATTTTCATATAAATTCAATCAAAATTTTTTTAGACATAATTTTACGGTTTTCATTAAAATACATACAAATATTTTTTCACCCTTTTACCATCAACTCCTATTTTTTTAACGATATTAGTGCTTCAACCCTCTATTCTCGGCGATTAAATTATTAATTTATATGGCAATTTAAATTTAAATTATTAAGGCATGTATATACATGCAGATGATATCATTTTCATTTCATTACATATTACAAAACAAAGTCGCTGACGCTGTCTGTCCGTCCCTTTGTATGCTTAAATCTTTAAAACTACGCAACCGATTTTGAAGCGGTTATTTAATATAGAATGATTCAAGAGGAGAGTTTATATGTATATATGCCGAGAATTTCAAAGATTTGTAATGCAACCGCGTGAAGCCAGGACGCGTCAAATTCAAATTCAAAATCATTTATTCATGTAAGACATTTTAGCCTCTTAGGAACGTCAAATGTTTTATATTATATTTTTTTCCCTATCGTCCAGTTCAGTATATAGATCCAATTGAGAAGAACTGGCAAGAAACCCAATTGAATTAATATATATATATATATACTAGCTTTTGCCCGCGGCTTCGCTCGCGTTAATTAGTCCCCTTAGAGGTGGAATTTATCAAAATCCTTTCTTAGGGGATGCCTACGTCATAGTATAGTCATATGCATGCAAAGTCTCAGCCTGATCGGTTTAAAATTGACAAAGTTTTATATAAACTTTCATCCCCTATTTTATCCCTTTGGGGGTAGAATTAATCAAAATCCTTTCTTAGCGTATGCCTACGTCATAACATCTACTTGTATGCTAAATTTCAGCCCGATCCGACCAGTGGTTTGGGCTGTGCGTTGATAGATCACTACGTCAGTCACTTTTGAGTTATATATATATATATAAATATATAATTACATTATCAATTTATCATACGTAAGTAAATTACATACAAAGTACACAATTATCTGAGACATCAATTTATTCGAATCCATGACCGCGATGGTACCTATTCCTTTCCCCTGGTTGCGTCACCGCCCTCTGTACATATAGGGCTACGCCCCCCGTAACCGGATATCCGGGTAGCGACCGGTCGTCAAGGCTACCGACCTATTCTGTTTGCTCTGTCTCGAATTAGCACATTTTAGCTATTCTTTCGTTCGTTGCTTTTCTTTCGCCTGGCCTAAGTCTTATATATTGGAAAGAAAGAAAGAAAGAAAAATATTTTATTCAGTGCAATGTAAAAAATACAATATAAACAACAAACGATAAAAAAATAAGAGCAAATAAAATGTACATTTAATTAAACTGTATTTATTGGGATGTAGAATTGTTAATAATGTGGACTAATAACCTCATTGTTAGCAATGTACCATCAGGTTGACTACACGGTTCCACCGGAAACTATAACAGATTCCTGGTGAATTTGTCACGATGTGCCTTAACCTCATGCTCATCTTATCATCCTCCACTGCTGCCCGCCAGCGTAAACCGTTAGCGCAGTGCTCCATTCCACTATCATCCTTAAAAAAATATATACATAGAAGGGTGAAGGGAGTTGCTAGTAATGTGGACTAATAACCCTATTGCTATCAATGTACCCTTGTCAGGTTGACCTCCACGCGGTTCCCCCTCGTAATAAATTCATGTTGAATTTACCACGATGGTAAATTCAGACCTGTCATGATCATCTCATCATCCTTACTATAAAATTATGGAATGCAAAGGTTTAAGTAAAAAAGATCAAAAAGACAATAAATTGTGGTTGTTGACTATTCAGGGTTGTTCTACGTAAAAAGTGATTGAGCAATAAATTTAGATATTGAAAATCATCATTTTTTTTTATTAGTTTCAATAATTTTAGTATTTCTTAGAAACCAATGATTTTTTCAATGAAGAAGCCGAAGAAATATTAAACATTATTTAGGTCCTCTAACTCACTTATTTCAATTGCCGCTGTAGATTTCTTTATAATATGTACAATATTTAGGTTGAAGGTTTCCGAGAGTGAGATTTCGCTGTGAAATTACAGGGTAGTACCGTGTGACACATTAGTTTGCACATGTGTGTTTTTTTAAAATAAATAATAATAATCTGAGGACAATTCATACAGCACCATCTAGACCCAGAGTGATTCCCAAAGTGGTCTATATCGACTCCCAGGGGTCTATGATAAACTGCAAGGGGTCTACGACAGCGATCATCTTGTTGTTTTTAACACTAAACTTTATTACTACTTTACTAAGAATGGGGGGTCTACCCAAAACCGAAAAATTTGGCAAGGGGTCTACGACACAAAAAGTTTGGTAACCTCCGATCTAGACCCAAGTCAAGCTAACTAAAGCTTGTGTTATGCTAGATAACAGATACAAAATATATAAATATATAGATATTTTTTTAAATACATCCATATTATATATAGAAAATACACAGAGCAATACACACAATCATACTCATGAATATAAATGTTCGTGCCGTGCGAGGAATCGAACCCCCGACCATCGGAAATAAAGTGTGCTAAACCGCTAAACCACCGAGGCCGTCAATAAATAAATAAGTTATGTATAATCCAACAAAACATTCATGAGTGGTAACGCGATTGTTTTAAAATAACAGTTAGTAATAACGTAATATGAACTTGTTGACCAGAGTTGCATTGTAAACAATCTGCACCGCTAAGCATTCGGAGAAACCTTACCGTTATTATTAGCGTTATTATGTACTTATAAAGTTGCAAGGAAAACGAAATTTATAAGTATGAAGATCTATAGTAATAATCCTGGATACACACAGCGCCATCTAGTTCCAAGATAAGCAGAACTTGTGTTATGGGTACTAGATAACTGATATAAATACATATTATACATAGAGAACATCAAGACCGATACAAACAGTCGGACATATGAATACAAATGTTTGACCCGTGCGAGGAATCGAGCCCGCGACTATTAACTAAATACTTAGATGCACTTTCCTTTTATAAATCTATACGTATAAATACAATTGGAGTGTCTGTTTGTAATATAGAAATAACCTTTTTTTACTACATGCATATAAATACGGTACATACACCAAAATATCATTTCTTTTAATTTTTGTCTGTCTGTCTTTTTTAGCAAGTAGCTGATGTAATAGGGAGTAAGGAATTTAACTTTATTTTTCTAAAATAACAGTAGCCTAGATTCTCCTTATTCCATCAACTACTGCCAAAAAAAGTCCGTCAAAATCGGTCCAGCCATTTCAGAGATTAGCCGGAACAAACAGACAGACAAATATTGTAAAAAATGTTATTTTGGTGTATGTACCGTATTTATATTCATATGCATGTAGTAAAAAACGATTATTTCAAAATTACAAACAGACACTCCAATTTTATTTATATGTGATGATAATAATAATAACCCTGTACATTTCACACGTCTTCTAGTCTCAAGCAAAGTAAAGTTTGGTACTAGACAACTGAAAGAAATACTTAGTTACATTTTTTTTAATATACATGTAATATCATATCCACAGACAACACCCAGACCGATACAAACAATTATAGTCATGAATACAAATGCATGCATCTTGTATGGAATTGATCTCGCGACCATTAGAAGTAAAGCCTTGTGCTAATACTACTAGCACAGAGAGGTTTCTGAGACGTTTATTAGAATTAGATAAAATGAAATTTATTCCTGCAATGTTTTTAAATAAAGCAGAAATTGCACAGTTATATTAAAAAATGTTTTTATCTAAGCGAGACATGCTGGTATATGCGTAAAAAATCATTCAAAATCTTGCATAAATGGCTCGTAAATATACTGTGGCAAAAGAAGATGTATCATTTCATTAGCATCGATATAAAAATTGACAGAAACTTCTATTTTTAAAGGAACACTTCTGAGTTGGTAAACATATTTTAGGATATAAATGTTAGAATATTTTGAGTCTATATTTTGAAGTAAAAAGAGTAATCTACTCTAACTTTTATATGTTCTCTGTTTTTATATTAACTATGATTTTCGTATTGAGCTTCCTTCTTCCGGATTTTGTCTATTACAAATGTCTTCTTTTTGTTCTGATAAGTTTGTATCAATAAATAAATTCAAAAGTACAATGTAAACCACAATTGTCATCAATAAATTAAAAAAAAATACCGTTATATAACGATTCACCTACCTCGCATACGCACGCGACTTGCTCCTGTGTAAAACCAAAACTCGGTAGGGGGGCGTCTCTAGGGGGGGTGGCCTCCCGCTGCCCCCACTCGGGGCCCCCCAGCATGTCCAGATGCTCGTCTCCTGCCACTTTGACACCACTTCGTCACAGAGTATATAAACACTACACAATTGTCAAGCTGACAGTTTAACTTTTTAATTTTAGGTGAGGGCCAGGAAAATTAAATGCACTTTTTATTTTTAAAATTATTATTATCATCAGCCAGTAATTTTTGGAAACGCTATATTTATTTATAGGTAGTCTTGAAGATACTATCGAGTTTTGTTTGTTCTTTCACTGTTTTGTTTCTCAAGTCGTCCCCGTGTGGATGCGGTGCAGCTAAATAAACTTGAAAAGGCGGCAGTCCCAAAAATGTTCAAACAAAGGCAATCACTTTTAAACGTCGATTACTTATTTGTTTTACGATTAAAAAGGCCCGAAGTTTGTTTTCGTATTCGAGTAAGTTGTTTTTATGGTGCACTCAACTCTCAATATTTTTCGTTGAAGATTTTCTTTTTTCTTAATTACTTTTTTTTTTAATCCAGTCCCTATCTGGCTTTTTACACAACTTTTAACAATATGATGATTATAGTAATAAATGCTTGTGAGGACACTTTTTTGTTGTTTTTATTTATTTCCTGGTTTTCTTTTTTTTCTCATTTTTAATTGGCACTCCTTTGATCGCTGTTTACCTGTAACCAAAAAAAATATTGTAACATTTTGACTGTGCAGCATGTCTACGAACATTACTCTGTTATAAGTATAATAACATGTAATAGTGTTACATAATTCCAAAGTATATTTTTGCTAACTATATCTGGTGTATGAAATTTCTAACATTCTGGGACTTAAAAAAGTTTCTAATGTACAATTAACATTCATTTAACTAGACAATTTAATAGTTGCATTTGCGACCCGCACAACATACTGACTCGCATCTGCAACTCATAGCAAGTTCATAGAAAATTAGAAATCCATCAATTTTAATCCATTACAATCATTTGTTAATAACATCATTACATAATTAAAGCCCAAGTTGCTATACCTACAGTTTTTTTCTTTAAGAGAACAAAAGACTGCTGATCTAAGTTATGTAATGCTGAATTATTATTTTTTAATTACATTAATTTAATATCCGTATTCTGGTGGTCCCCATACTGAGCTTAAATTTCTTTAATACGTATGATTTTAGAAGAATATAATATAATAATAATAGAAACTATCCACCATCTCATTTTAAAAGAGGCAGAGCAGAATTACTAGTCGTCAATTTAGAAATGAACTTAAACCAAGAACTGTTGTAGAATCAAGCTAAATTCTGTATCGAGAGAAATTTGACTTATAATTCAATATCAATAAAGACATTTTGAATTTAAACTCCGCTTGAGCATGTTAAAACTAGAACTCTCTAATTTCTTAATTTAAAGATGTACAATGATCATTTAGCATCAGTCAAATAGCATAGACACTCTGTGGGTGATAGAGGAAAGCAGGGAATTGTAGTAAGATGTAACTATATCATTACATAGTATAAAACAAAGTCGCTGTCGCTGTCTGTTCGTCCCTATGTATTAAATCTTTAAAACTACGTAACCGATTTTGAAGCTATTTTTTTAATAGATAGAGCTATTCAAGAGGAAAGTTTATATGTATTACATTTACACCAGTGCGAAGCCGAGGTGGGTAGCTAGTATTATATATATTATACAAAGAAACACTACTAACTAGGGCCGGGAAGGGAAACCGGAAGGAACAATGGAAAGAAGAAGAAATTTGAAGCTTATAAATATAACATAGATTGTAGAGAAAGGGGTTGTTAGTAATGTAGACTAATAACCTCATTGCTAGCAATGTATGTAGGTTGACCTCCACATGGTTCCCCCTGGAAACCATCGTGATAAATTCATGGTTAATTTACCGCGATGGACTAACTCACCTGACCTCATGCTCATCTTATCATCTTTCACTGGTGCCGCCAGCGTAAACCGTTAGGCTCAGGCGGGAGCACATACCATTATAATCCAATAAAAAAAGAAAAAAATAGAACATAGACTAAATAAATGGCCTGTATTTTACACACTCTACACAATCCTCTATGACATAATTTTTATTACGAATCTGTTTCCAAATAATACGTGACAATATTTTAGTTCTAAAAACGGTAAGATCAAATCAATTACTCATCACAATCGCGACCAAAATCTCCAAGGGTTGCCATCGTCAATTATATACAAATTTTATATCACCAAATACCGTCACGTACTGAGTTTGAATCATTGTCAAGATCCTTTATGCAGACAACGCAAGATTTACAATAAAAACATTTGAAACAATGCAATAGAAACCTTATGTTTAGCTAAACAAGGTTCATAAAAGGTAATAGTGTGTTAGTCCTTTCCCGCTCTTTTTGGAGGTTAGTGTTGCGCGTGAAAAGGATAGAAGGGTCATAAGAGGCACGATGTTAAATGTTTGGTGTTTTAAGTAATTTTTATCGTCGACACGATCGCGAGGGAGGCCTCGCTGATGTATGGAGCTGACAGCTTAATAGTGTTGTGCTCGCTTTGTGATTTTATAAAAATTAAATATAAATTTATTGCGTAAAAATTTTACGATTAGGTCATTCACCTATTTGGACGTAGTGATCATTTTGTAGAAAAATATAGGTACCTACATAATGCTCTAAATTGTACGACTATAAATATATAAAAGATAATAAAGATGTAACGCAATACGGTTCTATCGAACCAAAGACAATTATTTTTAGAATTTTTACCGTTTATCTATTTGTCTATGGATTTTTGCGCGCTAATTTTGCCGTATTGACCTATTTGGGTGCGGTTTTCACTAATGTATTGCGGTTAGCTTCACTTAGTATTACGTATACTTGCGATTTACTAACTAAAAGGTCATACGGTTCGAAGTTTCGGGTTTTGTCTAGTTTTTCACATGCTGTACTATCGACAACAGTGGATCCTGACCCACTACATTCAAGAAAACTCTTATTTTTGTCCACCAATAGCATTGAAAGAAGTAAGAACAAAAGATTTTCTATTCATTCACAATTGTCTTGTGTAAGACAAGCGTTTGCAACATCTGGCAACTTAAAAGAGCAAGTAACGTAATGTAGTTTAAAATCATAGGTACGAGGCATTTCTACTACATTCATTTAAAAAACAGAGTTTCTCAATTTTACTGTTTTACCTCAGAACATATTCTGTGTGAATTGATTTTAGTACTTAATCGTTTTTTATTAAAAAAAAACTTTTAGTACCGATTTACTCTTATTTTATCTTAGCTATCTTATCTAGTTATATATTATTATCTTAGCTACTTGACCAGCGGTTGTATATTTAATATTTTGACTCATAATAAGAGTCAAAATATTAATTAGTGCTAGTTGATAGTTTGTATTCACAAATTTCAAATTATAAAATGTAAAGTTACAACAATATTATTTTTTTAAAGAGCAACACGCAAGTTTCTTTCTCGTTCTCCTTATGATGAGACAGCTTTCCGAATGAGCGATAGATTTTAAAAAAGAAGTGATGACTATTCAAAAGTGCTTCAATGTGAGTTTATTTGAATACTAGTAAAACCGCGGACACACTGCCGTTTTACTCGCGTGAAATATATAGCCTATATATTATTCTGATAAGCTATATTACTTTTTCATCAAAATCCGTTTAGTAGTTTCTGCGTAAAAGAGTAAAAAACATCCATCCATACTCACAAACTTTCGCGTTTATAATATCAGTAAGATATGATTTTCAATTATTTTCTATGGAGATGTCTCAATAGATTCTAACACTGCCATAAATAAACGACGATATAATTTATACAGTTCCACGAGTAACTAAAATAACGAGCTAAAAGCATACACTTACCAATGTTGAAGGCATTTAAATGATGCCAGTTTTAAATGAGCATCATTGACGGAAAATTGGGTTGCGTTTTTGTTAAAGTATTATAGGATTGGCCGCCACCCAAATGGTGTTCATTCGTCAAACGCGTAGTAAAGTCACAAAAAACTCGCAAATGATTCATTCATATCTCTGCAACCTAGTCTCGAGGCAATTTGACTCAATCTTCTGACTTATTTACTATCAGTTTTATGAAATATTCTCAGTAGGTTGGTGATGTTTTTCAAACAACTTAAATTTTCAACTGCCTGCGTTAGCGTAAACACGCTGGCGGGGCACCAGTAAAGGATGATAAGATGAGCATGAGGTCAGGTCAGTTAGCCCATCGTGGTAAATTCACACTGGACAATTTACATAGCACAAGCAAGAGTCAAGCTAAGCTAAGCTTATGTATTATAGAACTGTTACATTTTTTGTAAGTACATATATAATATTCATTTATTTATTTATTCATTTTAAAACGTACAAATATTACAAAATTGATTATACATTGGACCCCGCACTAGGCGAACCTGTTTCGCGGGAGTCCACAAAAGAATTGTCAAATAATTATTAACTATTACAGATCAGTGAGTTTGACATATCAGACTAATTAAGATTTTTTAGTTTGATTTCATAAAAACACAAAATACATAGAAAACACCCAGACCAATACTAACAATCGTAGTCAGGGGTAAAAGGGATTGTTAGTAATGTGGACTCATGACCCCATTACTAGCAATATACCATGTCAGGTTGACCTCCATGCGGTTCCTCCTGGAAACCATCGTGATAAATTCCTGGTGAATTTGTCGCGATGGGCTAACTGACCTGACCTCATGTTCATCTTATCATCCTCCACTGGTGTCCCTCCAGCGTAAACCGTTACCGCTGGCGGGTTCACCATTCCATTATCATCCATAAAAACAAAACAATAATAGTCATGAATAGAAATGCGTGTACCGTGGTGTGATGGTGGCGTGTTCGAAACACACCATCACACCACCACGTAAGGCTATGTGCTAAACCTATAGACCACCAAAGCCATCGAGAATGTTCTTTTTAACAAAATATTACATTTTTACATGTTCAGTATACATTACTTTATATTTCATAGGAATGAAAGGAATATTTCAAACAATATATTCCATACTAATAAGTACAAAGGAAGGCCGAAAAAGGCATGGATGAACTATGTCAAAGATAATATGACAAGAAAGGGAATTCATAACGACATGACTGCGAACAGAGATGAATGGAAGAGAAAACATATCACGACCATAAATGAATGGTATAAAGAAGAAGCAGATGATGATATATTTATGAACACGCACAGTGGCTCAGATGAGAGGGCAATTGCGGAAAATGGAGTCCAACCTACGTATATTTATGGTTGGTGTTGTATAGGTACACTACGGTCATTCTTGATTACAAACCTACATGACATTATGGTGTCAATCACTGGTATGCATGCCCGCTGATCTACTGTCCACGTAACATAGCTGCATAGCTCAAAGCAGCGTCTTTGATCTTATATTCTGGCGAATATCCCAAAGTTCCGCGTATCAAGTGTACATGTATGAACGAAATCCTTCCGATGTTGAATGGAACAAAATAATGATCCATATATTATCTACCTATCATACATCATACATCTTTAATTATTTCTATAACAATGTAAGTATGGGAATTTATTGAACTATTGAACTGCGCGAAATTTCCCTCTCTGCAGTCTCTACGATGGAACCAGCTTCCGCACGGTGTATTCATGGTATTCTAAGAAGTTCATCACA